TTTTTGCTGGGAAAGGGAGTTCTAAACATTGCTTTCCTGCTACGTAAGCAGACACAAAGCATTGTGGGAAATGTCTGTAAAATGTGGATCCCTGCTGGCTACTGAACATTGTCTTTTGCGCTGTGTTTATAATAATTTAACAGAAGCCGTATGAGTAATTTAGACTGCTGCCAGCAAAAATACTTTGCAAAGCTGTCCTATTAAAATGAGAACCGACTGAACCGTGACCCAAAGCGGCAGTCAGGAAGGACTAATACCTTCCCAAATATAGTGTTTAGCTGGGGGCGGGTTGTTGGATGGATTACATGTGTTGTGAGTCCTGACAGTCATACCTTCTGCTGTTCAAGATAAATTTGATTATGAATTATAGAAATTAGTAAGACCGTTTAAGTGCAAACAAAATGTTTAGGTCTGCGATTAGCAGATTGGCGCTTTAGCGGACTGGTGCCCACCACTGCTATTTACACATTGAGACGTTTATTGCTTTTAATTCCACTCAATATTTTTGTGTAGGTTTTAAATAATTATGAACTGTTTTCTGTTCAAATCTATTTATATTAAATGAATAACTATTAAGAGTTGCATTTAAGTGATATTTACTCAATTCCAAACATTGTAAAATTTAATTAATAATATTGCTTGTAATCTGTTGCCTCATTTTTATTGAGTAGATATGGTGTATTTTCTCTTACAGTGTGTTGCAATGGGCCTGTTTGGCGGTTCATCTACAACTAATTAATGTTTGGACCCAACTCAATTGAAGAGAGACACCGTATCTAACTGGCACAAAAGCACAACACTAAAATGTCTATAAATTAGTCAAATTCACAGATATTGAGATAAACTGGTGCGGTAGTGGCTGATAGCCAACCTTAAACATATACTCTTAGTGGAAACGCATCTTGCAAGTTTCACGTGATATTGCACATAATGTCATTTACAAGGTTTGATCAATGGATCATGGTATTTGTTTAAGTCTGGATTCCACTGTGTTTTAAAGCTTTTTTCTGTATTAAAACTAACTAATCTCCACTTCTCTGCTCTGATGGTCTTTTCTATTGAAGTGGATGATGGAGGAGACGAAGATGAGACCAACATGAGGAACGGAGGAGACAGAGGTGGGTTCAGGTACTCACTSATACATTTGACTTCTAACTGCAGCTATCAAACCTAACTATTGTTTGTAAGCAAAGGGTTTGGGAACGTTGGGCCTCATGCAAGAACATTTTCGTATTCTTATCCTAAATTTCTCATACTTTTGTTTGTATGAAGGGTTCGTAGGAACATGTCACGTCAGATTCAACAAAAGCTTCTATCTTCAGGAAAAGTGTGTAAATGAGCTGCGTAAACTAATGAATGCGTATCAGGTGCTTGCGTGCAAGGAGAGGAGATTAGTATAATCTACCACCCCAAAATCACCATATAAGGCTATGTTTCCTGCCCCACATACCAGGAAGTGTCCATTCACTGCTAAAGCCGAGGAATGAAATGACGACTGCTTTATTKTCGTATACAGTCACAGAAATAAAAATCTAAATCATATGCATCTCTCTCTAGTCCTGCTCCAGTTTTCCTTTGGTCAAATATTTTTAATTTAAGTGTAAACAACTGTGTTACAGAAGAAGAGCAGTCACTCCGTTCTACAGGTTTGGGCCCATCAATAAATGACCAAACAAACAACACTTGAGAAACAAAAATTAATAACTACTAGGTCATGTGACACAGTRACACAAAACTCATTTTAAATTGTTCTACTAAGCATGACAAACAATGCACACCTGTTTTACCTGATTTTAAAGCATTTTCTACAATGTCTTTCTGCAAAATTGTTGATTTCTCTTCAATAACATGACCCAAGTGTCATACCTGAGTAGCTGATGAAGTCAAGCAGCAGTTCTTGGGCTTAATTTTTAGCAAGCAGTGAATTGTAGGTGGAACAATAAAAATRAAACGGTAAATTATTAAAAACTGTTGTTAAATGATACGCAGGCATTCTCACAAATATTAACTCAACATTTTATTAACACGAACTTCTCAAAAATTATTCTCAAAAACTGTAGATTTGAACTCTTCAAACAGCCTCCCAGCCCGGATACCAGTGCTAGCAGAATGCATCAATGATTTTTTACAATAACAATCTTCACCCTGCACCCCTGTTTTTCTAAATATCCCTCTACTCCTGAAACATTTGAACCTCGTGCTTTAACGACACTGACTCTAATGACTATTAAACAGAACATCACTTCAAAAAAGACCAGACTTGCCCTTTAATCAATAGCTAATTAAAATAGGTTGTTTTCCAGATATAGAAAAACAKATTATAAAATCAAGATTATTTTTAAGAAAAGTAAACGTCTTCACTAGAAAATATATTATTTTCAAAAATAATTCATCTATTTTTAAAGAATTCTGATATTTTAAGGGAAGCACTGATACTACATACTGTATTTTTGAGCTATCAAGGTTTTCCTTTCAGTAAGTAAAATCTGGATTTAATGTGTTCCAAAAGAAAAAGTTTGCAAACTCACCTGTTCTTGACTTCCATAATTAGTGTAGTTAACTTTAAAAAGGGAAGCACAGGCACTTTGAAGTACAGAAACAGCATCTGGTTCTACTAATGACTGTGTTGTTGCTTTATTTATTYAGACCGCAAGAGCTGCAGTTAAATATCTGCATGGCACCGAAAACATCCCATAATGAACCTGCCTGCTTCTGTTTAATGGGCCATTCAAATATAGCAGTGTGTTGTGGCTTACTCCCACTGAGCTCCTGTAAACACGGCAACAGTTGCAAATACCTAAAAGCTTTTGTGTCATTTCAGCCAGGAAATGGTGTTTTAGGAGCGCTAAATAATATTTTTCATCGGTCCTTTTATAGCTTAACCTAGATCCCAATTGTGAGACACCTTGCAGTAACAGCAACAATGACGTGGTTGTGTTTGTGTTGCAGATGCTAGTTTTCATCTCCAGCAACTCCCTTTATGTTCTGTATTACTGCAATGAACAAAAATGTTGCCTTAAATTGACCAGAGCAAAAATCCCTTTGAGCTCAAAAAGTTTTTGTCACTTTACTAACTGTCAACAACAACAACAAGCTAAATAAAAATATATTTATAACATTGCAAGTGGTAATAGTTTTAAAAGACCGACACAAATTTGTCCCTCCAGCTGCTGGATGATGCGCCTGAAAAGCATCTAGGTCCGCATATTTGAAATGACTCCCAGTCAGCAGTCGTTTTATTGCATTTTGTGTTCTTGTAGTTTAATGTGACGTGAAGTTGAAGTTCCACTTCACCATCAGTTTACAAAAAGAGGCAGCTGTGGCTCAGYGGTTAAAACAGTTGTCCTCCAATTTGAGAGTCAGAGCTTCGGTTCCACCAGCAGTCACATGTCAAAGTGTCCCTGAGAAAGACACTGAACCCCTCATTGCCTCTGATGTGTGTCCCATCGGTGAATAAATGTAATCTGAAGCACTGATTAGTCTCTATAGAATGATTTTATTCAGATTAGCTTTGTACCGATGCAGTGGAGCGCTTTAACAGTGAATAAATGAGGGCACACATTGGGCCTCATGCAAGAACATGTTCGTATTCTTATCCTAAATTTCTCTTACTTTTGTTCGTATGAAGGGTTCGTATGAACATGTCACGTCAGATTCAACAAACTCTTCTATCTTCAGGAAAAGTTTGTAAATGAGCTGCGAAAACTGATGAATGCGTATCAGGTGCTCTTGCATGGGGAGAGGCAATTTAGATAATTACCATCCCAAAAAACGCCATATAAGGATATACGTTTCCTGCCCGAAATACCAGGAAGTGTCCATTTATAAGTGACATCGCAAAGTAAAAAAGAACTTTACGAGTTCGAAGATTGAAGTCCCGCTTTCAGAGATCTAGAAGAAGAAAAAAATCTGTCATTTTTAGCAGCGTCAGACCTGCTAAAGCCGAGGAATGAAACGATGACCCCTGTTAATGTCGTCTCCTGTCACAGAAATAAGCTCTGTAGTCCTGCTCCGGTTTTTCTTTGGTCAAATATTTTTAATTTTTAATTTAAGTGTAAACAATTGACCGCAAGTGTCAGATGCGTTTCTGAAAAAAAATAATTTTAAAATGTCTCAAAACATCAGTTAACTTCATCTTAATATTGTAGTGCTATATAAAAAATTTAATAGCCAATTTATTTTATATTAACCAATTTATGTCATTAGTCTATTACATTTAAAATTATAATGCTAATTCAAGCAGAATAGCCTATTGTCAAGACAATCATAGTGTAATTTATTTTCAACTCAAAATATTTTCAAACTAACGAAATGTAAAGTTATTAGGGAGGAAAATCCATCTGGATAACAGCAGACTGACTGCCCGTAAAATATACGACAGGTCTGGACCACTCGTGAATTTTGTTCGTATCTGAAGAAAATCTTAGAAAACGAAAACATTGGTGAATGCCACAAATTCTCCTAAATCACTCGTACGCGCAACTTAAGAACAAATCTGTGCGTACGAACGGTTCTTGCATGAGGCCCAATGTGTCGTAAAGTACTTTATTATGACATCATCATCCTGAGACAAAAGCAGCCGCTAACACTGTTAAACTTCGGTTTTTGCCTGTAAACTGAAACCATGGCKGTGTCCAAAACGACAGGCCGGGTCCTCCGAAGGCCGAATTCTTCGGCCGCATACGTCACAGCGCCGCGACGAAGACCGTCCAAAACCGAAGACTCCTCCGATACGGCCGACAAATACGTCCTTCCTTTGGCCCGAATCGAAGGACTGGTCTGATGGATCCTTCCCGGCCCAGCGTATCCCATAATGCATTGCGGCCCGACCAGAGATTTATTTATGCTAGTAATGGCGGACGAAGCGAGAGAAAAGAATACGTTTTAAATAAAAATATTGTAAGAAAAATACGTATTCAATAAACTGAAGTCGATATTAAAAACACCACTGTTAAATAAACTGATTTGTAGAAGGAATCAAACCATACAACACCAGAATTCTGGAACCGAGTGAGGTTTAATGTCACCGGAGCTGACAGGAAACCACACTGGCGAAAAACCAGGAAGTTCATCAATTTATACATGGTTCTTCAATGCCTGCGTTCGCCCCCTACTGACCTACGGCTGAATCACAGGCATTCAGACAAAAACCTCTTCTACTGTTATCATAACGTTTTGATTATGTGTTGTTATAATTCGGACATGTAACTGAACCTATTTCAATCAAAACATAATAGATTAAACATTGTCAACATTATAAAAAAGAAAACCTAAGAATATAGTGTTGTGCTTCTAACATCAGTACTAACCTCTAATAACTAAATTTCTTCAATATGGTGATTCAAAAATTAAAAAAAATTAGCGGTTGTAATTCTGATACTTTTATCATTTGTATGGACATGTTTTTAAATATTTTTGTCATTAAAAAAACGCGAAATAAACATGCACCTACAGCGGGTCAATTAGTTCTTCAATTGATACCTTTAAGTTAATTTTATAGTTTTGTGATATTAATAATGCTAATGTATTGATATTTTTCTAATTTTGATTCAAGTTTGCTTGTTTAGCGTCGTCACAGTTGCTAGGTGACATGACGTACACCGGGGTAAGGAGGGGAGGCTAGACCGTCCAAATTCACAGCCTCTTTTTTTCTGGTCTTCCCGGTCTACCAAGGACGCGGCCCGCCTCGACCGTGTAGTCTGGGTCCTCCGGAGGACCCGGCCTGTCGTTTTGGACACAGCTCATGAGTCAGACAAGGAGAGTGAATATGAACATGTGTGTCGTGCTGGAGATGATGTCACTAGGGGTGTAAGAAAATATCGATACACTGAAATATCACGATATTTTATTTCCCGATACTGTATCGATATTCTAAAGCCCTATATCGATTTTTTATTAAGTTTTAAAATATCAACCTTCTTGCCAACCGTTCATTTTTATGTTGTAGTTCAGCCTCTGACCACTAGTTGGCAGCAGTGAGCCAGCTATTTGGCTCCTCTACCTCTTGAGCGCCAGAGAGTAAGGGTAGCATTAGCATTGTAAGTAAACATTAGCTTTTCTTTTTCTTTTTTTTTTCAGTAAGAGGTTTTTATTTAATAGAATTTTTGGACAAAAAAATCGCAATATATCACAATATACTGCCTTGCTTACAGTATGGCAATATATCGGGATATATCGTATCGTGACCCCTCAGTTATGATATGTATCGTATCGCCAAATTCTTGCCAATACACAGCCCTAGATGTCACTGAGTGACATGTGGCAGAGACTGCTAGATAAAGCAATGCTCACAAACCAGCTTTATCAAGAATGTCAAGGACGTAGTGACACACATTATATAATTTTAGCAGTAAATAAAAGAAACAATATTTACTTAGCACAAGTTAAATCTGTTAATAGTTTAAAAGGCTCATGCAAATGCTAAACTTCTTTTCAAAATATTAGTTCCACAGATTAGCAGATGTGTGGAAGTGTGCCCACCACTGGAAGCAACAAACATAAACATTAATATAGACAAGAAAAACATTCTCATGTGGACAAATCCTGAGTCTGTTTTTCTTGCTTACTTCACCCAGATATTTCAGGCTGTCAGCAACAGTAAAATATACTCCCTGTTTTGTTTGTGTATCCAGGCCCGATGAGAGTACAAAAGCACTGAGTGGACGAGCTTACCAAGACCGCCCTACTTGCCCACAAGGAGGAACAGTCATCAGCTGGGAGGAATCAGCACCAACAGGAGCTCCCTGGCATTAGCCCATAGAGTAATGCATGCATCTAATCAAAAAGAGTTTCACTCCGTGAAAAAAGGAAACAAAAACGTTTCGTCACACCTTGCAAGTAGCAAGATGTGTCTAATTAGCAAGTGTGTATGTTGTTCTGTAAACATGCAAACCTACAAATCCCTCTGTAAATAACCAACAGTTTCCCTCATGACTGCAAGGAAATGGCTTGTGCTTTTTCTCTCAACCATTCCATTCCAGCAGGTCTTTCTGTACATAAATACTGTAAGAAGAAGGCGTCCTGATGCCCCACTGTTGCTGTTGACTGCTTTCTTAGTGCTTAGAGTTTCTTTGTCTAAAATGATTTTCCTGATCATACTTGCATGAAGTTGCACTCATGTCTGGATTTAGATACTGTCCAATGCTATGCCAGATCTTTGTGGGTTCGTGGAGACCGCTTTGAATGTCAGGAGTGTCCTCAGTGTTCATGAGAAATGTGTTCATGTGCACATGGATATTCTGGAGCTGAGGTTTGCCATCACCACACTCAATTTAGGTTGTTAACACCCGCAGCCAAAGTGAGATTTTTAGATTTTTACCCATCTGTGTGTGTGCTGAATGCACGTAAGATGTGTCTTGTCTGCAGTTGGCACACAATCTCATGGACCAGTTGGTGTCTGTCAGTAAAACTTTCAGAAAGTTAACGTTGGATGTTAAACCTTTGGAGTTATTCAAATTCAATATGGCCTCTAGATCAAATTTAACTTAGAAAACATCAATACGAGATATAACTGATATAATTGCAGATATTGTAAGCCCATAATTTGTCAATAGAAGACAGCTTTGATTTAAAACTCAGGCATAAAAGGCATTTCATTTAATTCCCTTTTATGATTTATGGAACAATGTTTTTGCTATCTGACACTGCCGTTGTGGCTACGTAAGGTAAAAAAGAGACTTGATCTTGATCATCCCTGCCAGATAATCAGCTGAGACTCCTTTAAGTAACTACACCCTGCAAAAGTTACTACATCAAGTCAACAAACTGTCTTCTAAATCATCAAAAACAGATTTTATTTTATATTAGAATAAGATACAGAAAGACCAATCTGTGAGCTACTTGAGAGGCTGTTCACAAGACTGGTTTTGAATGTTGCTGAATATTGAAAAACAACGATGGGCACAGCTAACCAAAAAGCTGATGTGTTCACAAAAGATCTGAATTTTTTGAACGGCTGCTTAACAAATGATAGGAACCGAGTTGTGGGCAGTGAGGAGCCGTTTGTACACTCAAAAAACATTTGTGTTGGATTTACTTAAATTATGTCAACAGATTCTACTCATTCTACTTGGTCTGGTAACAATTTCTAAAGTGGGCTAAAAGACTAATCCACAAAATGAGAAGCTAGTTCTGCTATTAGCAGAACTGTGCTCACACTTTAAAAAAATTATGTAAGGTTTTCAGACACATAGGCTACGTTCACACTGCAGGCAAATCTGACCCAAATCCGATTTTTTTGATCCATCTGACTCATATCAGATTTTTTTTATGACAGTCTGAACGAGACAAATCCGATTTTTTCAAATCCGACCCAGGCCGTTTCAGTATGTGGTTTTAAATCGGATATATATCTGATGTTTTCAAAGTGACTGCAGTGTGAACGCTCATGTCACATTCATCTGACTTTTTCATCAGGAGGAGAGGGTGAAGGATCGATAAGACACTAACCTCAAGTCTCGCTGTTTAAATCTGTAGCTCCGTGTGTTTACAGCTCCAAAACACAAGTCCAGTTGCTTCATCTTTTTACTTTTCATTTTCCACATAGATAGTTTGATAATAATGATGTCCAGCCTGGGTCGCGGAGAGTATCGATCCTAAAGTTAACTACTTGGTCGATACTTTTTTCCAGCTCGTAGTTTCCTTTAAAAAAAAGCTTCACTGGAGCATCCCGGTCAGAGGCAGCTTCAGATATAAACACTGAACTAAAGAAGCAGGTCAGATAATTATTTAATCGGCTCTGATTAAACAACAACTTCAGATTCGATGTGCAAAATGTAGCATCCATGCTAGCTCTGTAAACAAACAAGCCGGCTGATGAGACGTCACGTCTTTTACTGCGCATGYGTGTCACATCAGTGCTGTGKAGYGTTCACACAGGRGTCTGATGCAGGTCACATTTAAAATGTAATGTGAACGTTCACACAAAAAGATCGGATTTTTTTCAAAAAATCGGAACTGAGCGTTAAGACCTGCAGTGTGAACGTAGCCATAGTTTCACAGATTTTTTAAGTTAGCAAACATTTGACATAAAGTCAAGCTAGCTATTTGTATACAGTTTCCCGTCTTATCATGTTTACACTAGCAGCCACATTCCAATACACCATAGGAACGCAATTTTACAGATATTGAGCAAATATTTTGTTTGTTAGTAGCTAATAGTGTTAATTATTTTATAGTGCCAACAAATCTCACAAGATCTTACAGTATTGTCCGAGATTGTGCATAAGAGTGGTTTATTAAACAAAACAATTCTAACTTTTGTGATTTGTATTTCTTTAAGTTGCTATGCTAGGCCTTTGTTTTCATCTGGCAAACTGCAGTGCACAGAGGAAAATACCTCAAAGCCGGCGCCCAGAATAACATGTGCGTGTGAACACACTGCCTGAGTCATTTACTCTTCTGCTGCTAATGTGCTCTCAGTGAGCAGCGCCTGCCAATCAGAGGGCTGTGCGACTGGAAACCACAGGGGCTACTGCAAACACAATAATGAGCCAAGTCTCCTTCACTCCCAGTGAAACCCCCCTGAAGGGCATTGTAACGCTCAGCGCAGCATGGTGCCTCCTTTTGAAGGTAGCCACAGTATTTACTGTGTAAGGAAACACCTCAGGACTGTAGYGAATTAGGCACTGAGATTTAGTCTTGAACATTTATTCAGTCTGTCAGGACAGAAGGTCATGATGAGCAGGTGCTTCAATAGCTTTATTTAGTTGAGGAGAGATAATAGAAAATGTGCAATGGAGGTCTGAGCTCAGGGACTGCAGAGCTACAGAATGATTGGAGGGTCTTTACAGATACAAGAAATCATTCACAGACTAGAAAGTCATTTATACAGTGCCTTGAAAAAGTCTTCAAACTTTTCTACATTTTGATACGTTACAACCACAATAGGGCTGCCACGATTAATCGATTAATCGACGACTAATCGATTATTAAAATAATCGATGACTAATTTAATAATCGATTAATCGTTTTCTTTTTTTTTGTTCTTTTACTTTGTTTTTCCCTCCAAACTGCTTTGACACCTTCCACTGCCACATCTGCCTTTCTGTCCTTGACACACATGCACAGTAGTGGTAACTGGGGTAGGCCGTGGACGTCACAAGACATTATACAGACAGGCTCTGGTATCATGGCTACCTGACAACAGAGCTCAAAGTGTGGGATCATTTTAAGAAAATGAAAGAGAAACCTGTGTAATATCTGCAGAGCAGAACTTACCTTCCAAAGCAATTATTTTTAGTTAGCATATAGCTAAAATCTAACCATRGTTATATAATAGCAGCTGCATTCTGGCACAATAAGCTGTATGTTTTATATTCAATTAACGTATGATCCGATTAGTCGACTAATCGAATAAATAATCGGTGATTAATCGATTATTAAAATAATCGTTTGTGGCAGCCCTAAACTACCAAAAAAAAAAAGTATTTTACTGACATTTTATGTAGACCAACACAAAGTAGTGACTAATGAAGTAGAAATAACATGGCGCATGGTCTTCAACATAGTGTTGTAWGTATTTGTTTCTATGGTTCCGGCCAGTGACATTGGATTTAAAAAAAATAAATAAATCAATGCTTGGCCATAAAAACATGTGGCCACATGATAATTTTAAGCCTGATCTCTTTGTGAAAGATACAGATTTTGTTAGAGTCAGATTTTACTGTAAGTAAATACACTGCTTACCCCACAATTGTTATTATTATTGGATTTTATTTTTTTGTTGTATGTTGAATACCTCCATGGTTCAATCTAAATKAATTTTTCTTAGTAGCCTACCAGAATTTACGACACGATATTGAACGCCCCATATGTTTGTTGGTAAACTGATTGTTTTACTTCGTTCCTGAACATAACATAAATTAGACTCCTTCTGCAGCAAAGACAGAGTGAGAGAGGAGCCTGTTATGAGTGTTGAGTTTGAMAAAAGAAAATAAAGCCTTTTGAATAAATATAACCCCAGTCATCAGTTGTGTCTTATAACTACAACATGTAATGCTAAAAGTGAACTTCATACCTAACCACAAGTGACTGAAGTATGTCATTAATTCCAATAATAAAATTAAATGAAATTAATTGAAACTTGTCGATTTAAACAACAGTGTGCATGGAAATGACTGCAATAATTATCTTGTGGCCACGCGTTAATATTTTTAAACTAATGYCACTGGACAGGCTGTGTAGTTTTCAGCCCCCCTGAGTGAATACTTTGAAGAACCACCTTCTACTGAGTCTGTTGGGCTTGATCTCTACCAGCTCTGCATATCAAGAGACTGAAACGTTTGCCCATCCTTTGCAAAATAACATTGTTCAGTCTGTAAACAGTAGTTTGCAAGTCTGGCTAAGGAGTCTCAGTTGGCATTAAGTCTGGATTTTGATTGGACCATTCTAACATCTGACTCTGTCCATTGTAGCTCTGAGTGGATGCTTCAGGTCATCCTGCTGGAAGGGGAACGTCCACCCAAGTCTTTTACAGTCTCTCACACATTCTCTGTCCTCTATTCATCTTTTTTTATTAAAGCTTGGGATATTGCTTTCTAACCTAACCCTACTTTAAACTTCTCAAGAACTTTCTCCCTGACTTGTCTGACGTGTTCTTTGGTCTTCATAGTGTTCTTTGATCATTGTAATGTGAGGAAATGTAGAAAAGTTCAAGAGTTATGAAGACTTTTTCAAGTAAATGAAGGGTTAAGTTTTAAGCATATCTTGGCATTAGTTTGGTTTATTTTTGGGGTAAAATTGATTATATTTTTTACCAGAGATCAACAAAAAGTGAAGAATGTTAATCAGAAGACTTGAGTTTTTTTTTCTCGAGGTAATGTTTGATGAATCATGATTTTAGGTTTTAATTTGTCTTTGAGTGATTTTGTGTCTTTTTGGGGGAACGCTTGATAGTATTTCTGTCACAGAGGCAGCTGTTAGACAGGTTGGTCATTCCAAGTCACATATTATCAGGTCAGGTTTACATTTGTATTTTTTTAAGGTTATGTCATTCAGGTCACACATTTCCAATTAAAATGGGCATTGTCTGGTTTTATAAAAYGATAAAGGTCTGAAGTGATAAGTTCTCTAAATCTGATTGAACTGCAAAAAGCTTGACTTTCTCTTGTGATTTGTGCATTAAAGCTGTCCCATAAGCTAAGGTTTCAACAACCTGTTACACTGTGTCAAGAAAAGAACACGAAGAGGCTCCTCTGATGTCGTCTCTGTGATCAGTTTTTTCTGATGTATGCTATTACTATCGTTACACGTGATATTATACTATAATCTGCAATATTGGTGGAGTTTAGTTGCCATGAGATTGCCAAAATGCAGATTCACTCGCACACTTTATCGTCAATGAAACATACATTTATTGAAAAGCAGGAAATGTCGTTTAAATCCTCTCCAAATTTTTAGAATTAAAAATTTTTAAAATGAGGGAAAAAAAAACATTCTAAAACAGGGATGGGCAACTTAAATGATGTAAGGGACCATGACTTTTTGTTGACACTACCAGAAGGCCACACTGCACACTTACCCAAATGTAATAAAGCTGCTGTTTTAAAAATGTTTGCATTTATATGTGTTTATTAAACAAACAAACTGTGCAGTAACTACATATTTCACGCTTAAACATTTTAAAGAAATTAGTAAAGTTAATAAACKAAACAAAAAACTTAAATATATGTATAACAGTTGTAGCTACTCTTGTAATAAATATGATTACAAAACATTTGAAGTAAATAAAACGTAAACACTTCAGCGAGCTGAAGCTGTACAGTGATATAGGACATRTTGAGTGCAGACACCTGCGTGATTCTGGTGAAAAGTCCTTGTTTATGTACTCGTGACTTCAGTTATCTTCGTATATTTAGCTTTGTGCAACATGTTAAAGTGGTAAGTGTCTCTAAGCAGACTAAACACATTGGTTTGCCTTGAAATTCTGTCAACAGTTGGAGAACCTCCCACCAAAAAAAATAATTTGTTTTTGAGGATGTAGACTGGCCGGATGTGGCCCGCAGGCTTGTTGCCCATCCCTGTTCTAAAACAGCTGTGTATGTTTCATGTTTCCTGTGTATTTTCCTTTTTTCTTTCATCCTTTTATGTTCTTTCAGTTTGTGCCTGTAGCTGTGCGTAACGTGACGTATAAAGTAACTGTTTCAGCAAATAAGACGATCCATCAGCCTCTGTGTGTCAAAGTTTAGG